AACCTACAGTCGAAGCAGACAGTGGTGCCGTCACCCTCTCGCACTCGCACTCTACTACATCCTCAGTATCCCTTATAACTCCCAAACCATGACACCCGCTGTCTCAACCCGAATGCATCACGACATAGCGTAGCATGGCACAGAACAGCACAACACCGTACATAGCCCAGCACAGCATCGCACCATGTAGCATAACATAAGCAGCACGTGCCTGTGTGTGTTCGCACATTCATGGTGGCATGTATTTGTCAACTTGTCTACCTTCGTTCTATCATTGACTCCCGGCTTGAGTCCATCATGTCTTCGGGTCGAGCACGACCAAGCCTGGAGAACAGCACATTCAGACTTTCGGGGTCGAACTCGTTTGAGCCGCGTGAGAGCAGTCAAAGCGAGGATTTCAGGGTCTTGCATTCGGTTTGGGATCTGTCTCTGCCTGCATGCTCGCAGTCAGGGAATCGTCCGTCGGACTATGGGGGTGCCCTGACTTAATGGCTCCCAAGGCGGCGGCCATCGCAATGAACAAGTGCATCCTGGTCGTGATGCACGCCATGGCTGCCGGGAACTTGTAAAGTTCGCAGTTGCAGATATCATCAGGCAATGACGTAGTGTCACAGACGAGCGCCGCAGCTCCTAGTCGTCGGTGGCAGGCCAGGGTTCAAGGGGCCAATGGATCAGGTCCTGGTACTGGGGTCCGAGCCATCGTAACCTGTACAGGAAAACCTCGGGACCTTGGTCCAAAACAAGTTCGAAAAGGTTCTCCGCACTCGCTTCCTTTGAATTGCAACTGTTCTCATTGCCGAGTTGCCGACGCAGCACTTGAAGACGTTGAATCCGCACTTGGACCATGCGGCTTTCGATGCCGTATACTCCACCGAGCAAACAGCGCGGCTCCTGGTCCATTGCAGATGCTTGTGTCATAAAGCTTACGAAGCACGCCCTGCTTTTGTTTCGATAAAGCTGATAAGGCAAAGCAAAAGCAATCGTGTTCACTAGCATCATCCAGCTTGGTTGCCGGTAACTGTCCTGAATCAGTTGCTGTCAGCTGGGGCACCTGAATGTCTGCTGGTGCGCAGGCCTACAAGTATGCCCAGGGCCACTGCCAGGCACCAGCACACCCTTAGCCCTTAGTGGGGCGGACAAGCAGGTGTCATGTTTGGGATCTGAATTCAGGTCAATCATCCCGGCTGTTCCGTGTGTAGCACCCGGGCAGGTGTCCTCCTTCGGTGTGGGAGGCACGAACGGCCACGCCATCTTCTGGGGGGAGAAGGCACGCGAGAGCTTGCGGATTTGATGACTCCATTGTCGTGGCACCGCACTCGATATCCCAACGAGCAGAAGCCGCTAACATCCTGAGACCCCGGCCGCCTTTGGAGGCACAACCGGACGTGGACTTCCGCAGGGTCTTCCTTAAGAGCCTTGTCTTTGAATTCTGGTGCAGTTTGCAAGTGTGCACCAACAGTGCCTTCTTGCATGTTCTTGTTGCTGGCTCCTTATTGCAGCTGTTGAATGTGCGGGTCAGGGCCGGGGACATCTTGTTATGGCCAGCTTTTGGGCACAGTTGGGCTATGTCCTTAATCTAGAAGGGGCCTTGCTTAAACTCTTAAAGCCTGAAACCAATCATTCTGTAGTAACGTTTCCCCCGCACAAGCCCGGCAGACGCTCTAAGGAAGATCATGCGAGCCACGCCGCCAATCACCACGGAGGGCTCCACGGACCCTGCCTTGTGGGACTATAGGGGGCCTCCGGCTCAGAAGAGAGTGTTCTTGCATGTCCACTGCGAGTGGTTCATTAGTTCGAAAGTTGTGGAAGTGTTTGAGTCTGAATTCCTTGCTCGAGCGTGTTGGGGCCCCTCTGGGCACTGGTTTGTTGGCTGCTTTCGAGGCTTGATTACAAAGCCACCATGGGTGACACCTACAAGGTGTCGCTTGACAAGGCCAGGCTAGTCTGATGGCTGTCACGAGCTTGCGGATGCCGAAGCACAGAGACACATGTTGTAGTGAAAGCAATTCAAAACTGTTTGCGCCTGTTCCGCGAGATTCTGAGACTGGTCCAAGAGGTCACGACGACATGTGCTGATTGATGCTTTCCAGTGCTCCATTGAGGACCCACTCACCGGTGAAGAGAACGTCAGCTTCGAGAAAGAGCAGGTCCCAGAGACAGGAATGGGAGGTGCACCCCAGAGCTGTTGTCCTGCTGAATGCTGCCAAGGTCAGGGACGACCCTGCGGAGTTCTACAGCACGACGGGGAACCACAATGACTGGGACAGTGATCGAATGCAGGAGGGCTCTGTGCTGGGCTTAGTTTTCTGGCTGCAATGTTTACTACTGAGGAAGCTGAAAAGCAGGCTTCAAGGGTTGTCTGCAAGTCCATCATAGCGTCGTGAAGGTTTGTATCGTTTCGGGCTGTGTGAAGGGACTGTAGCAGAACGGACTGAGAGAAGTATATAGTGCGTGCTGCACCTCAGATCCCGGGTCTGTACTTTCAAGACATCACAGCCGCGAGCTCAGTTGCTGCTGGTGGTGGTGCCGCTGTCGTCGTTGGGGCACTGAAGTACAGTGGACAGTGCTGCGGTAATTGCAAAGTTGGTTTGCAGTGGCGCGGGAAAGTCGCGCCCGATTCTGTTGCAGTGCTCAGCATACAGCTCTTCGTTTTTTGCTGCACAGTGGTGCGCACGTAGGACTACAGGACCACGCCGTAGCCGTAGCCATCTCCGGGCCGTGCAACCCGTCGAGTCCCTGACTGCCTCAACGGCTCCCTCGCAACATGGTGCTGAGGTACCGGAGGGAGGACAGCTCGAATTCCGCATCCTAGCCTCGCAGCAGCAGATCAGAACAGTCGTCATGGTTCGTTCGGACAAAGCGTTTGCTGTAACGAATGTGTGGAATCAAGGGAAATAGGCAATGCATAGAGCAAGACGCTAGCTGTGCGGTTTCCGGGTTTCCGATTATCGTGGTTTGGAAGGCACTGTTTCCATGGTCTGCAACGTCCAACTTTGTGGGCGATGTTGGCACATGCAGCAGAGATTGCTGCGACAACAGGTCGATGGAGATCCCGACAAGCCATGAGCTCAGAAGTCCCCCGCCTCTGCATGCCATGAGCTCTGGGTGCCCCACATCAACTGACATGCTCACCAGCATGCTTGCACCTGCCGTGTCGCTGCAAGCATGATTGCACATCGCCGGTAAGACTCAGCTCAGACTGGACTGTCGGTTGTCTCGAATCTTGGGACCTCTTGTCATCAGCTTTCAGCCTCTCAGCCCTTCTTCCAGGAACATCGGGCCCGAGGATACGACCTCGCTTGGGCCTCATGTGCAGCTGCTGTAGAGTGCAGTGACATCGTCGGCGTGGTGCGTTGGGAAGCAGTTTACAGGACTAGCTGTGGAGTGTGACTTCCGCTGCAGCTGAGAATCCCACAATCCCCGACTGCAAGCGAATGCCTTGAACGCGTTTCCTTCCGGTGCTCAAGGCAACCTCTCGTTCCGATCAAGGGGCCGGAGAAGCAGCTGTGCTCTTGGCATGCATTCTGGAAACTCTTTGGCTTTGAGCCGTCTGAGCCGAAAGTGTCAAGCTAAGCCGTGGGTCTGCACTCACGATGAGCTGCTTTTACTGCTTTGTCTGATTCAGGCAATGCCCAACCTGGGGATGCCATGTTGGTGTCAGTGGTGCTTTCCTCTTTGGATGGCGATACCTCGCAAAGTAACAGGAAACGTACGTACTGTTCCTGTGCGATCGTGGCAGTCAGTGCCCCGCAATGCAGGCGCACCTCGTGGTTGGTGGACGCTTCGCCTGGAACCCTCGTCCGGGTCCGGCTGCCTAGGCTTCTGATCGGCTCACATGAAGTGAGGTGAGTTGCTTGCGTTTTCTTCGCCTGTCTTTACTGGTGAGCACTTTTACAAGGTGGCAGCATCGTCATCGCATGCGGGGGTTGTTGATGTTTCACGCAGGTAGGCGAAGCAGACATTGCAGATGGCTTTCACTATAACGGACTGCGTCCCTCCGTACCAAGGTGGAATTCCTCACATCCACGAAGGCGCACAAATGAGCCACAGACTTTCAATGACTTGTTTCGACGGGATTCGGGCTTGAGCTACAGGGCCACTGATAGTGTTTCGCTGCCATCGTTGTGCGCAGAGCATCAGCATCTAGACTCGGGGAAGCAGTCTCTGCAGCTACTTGTAGTAGGGCAGGCGAGGGTTGAGCCACGGCCTTGCACGAGCACGGGCAATGGGCAAAGCCTGCTGCTTGAAGTGCTTCTGGAGCGCTAATTCGCCTGTCCAGGATCTCCACAGCTCATTGAAGCCAAGAAGTGTCTCATGGTTCATTGTGCGGGGCCCGGCCCGGAAGCCATCAGGACAACTCAGCTGAGCCACGGGCCGTGGGTCTGCGGTCTCAGTTTTGCCCAGCGAACCCAATGTATCCATGTGCTGCTAAGGTGGGGGACTAGCGTGCTCTCGAGGTCTGAAGGGCCGCCGCACGCGAATTCCCAAGCACCCTCCGTAGGATTAAACTGCAATTGCCAGGTTTGTGGATGATAGATAGTACATGTACTTGGACATCCTGGATTGCAAATCTGAGTTGTAGAGTCTGCACCCTTTAGAGCAAGTCATTAGGTATCCTAGCTGCTGCTCGTCTGATTTAGCTACGCTTCTGTCGAAAAGATTGTTGGCACCAGGCCGTTTGATGAGCTGTCCGACATGATCTGTGCCAGAGCCGGTATGACTAGGGTTGAGCACCTTGCGTCTGTTCCTTCTCCAATCCAAGACTGCACTGCTACCGCTTTCCTGGAAGCCGCCTTTTTGCAACAACTCTTCGTTGAGGTCCCGCTGGCCGAAGCTCGCTTTACAGGCACTTACACACTGCCTCAATATAGGTTTAATGTCCGCCTGCTCGCACTCGTCGCACTCGTGTCCGCAGCTTTCAAGGCTTCAGCAAGGTTCATCTTCGGAGCTGCACCGGAGTTCCGGAGTGCCGAGGCTGAGCCGCGGCTGGAATCAGATGCATGGGGCACCCGGTGGACGCGGCATGTGCAGAGCTTCGCAGCATGGCTCTCGAGAGGCAGCAGGACTGAGAATCATTTGCTGTTTCGATAGGCTCTTCAATTCCTGTTGCTCTTCGCATTCGGAGACTACGCACGTGTCCGGTCTGAGGGCTTTGGGCACGAGAGGACTGGCGGAGACTTGGCTCTATGCCGCTGCTCGATGCCCCTGGCGAGCTTCTTTGCCTCAAGCTTGGATGCAACAATATCTCAATGTGGGGTGGAGGAAGTAGGGTCGCGGGTTTTCCGGAAAAAGCACCTAATACTTTGGTGGTGCGGCCAAAGGTTGTCCTTCCAGCCGTCCGATATTTTGCTGCTTTGATGTTGGCAGCATTCACCAGTAATCGATGGCAGCGCATCTTAGGATGGATCTTCCGCAGCTAGCGATCCGGGAAGAGTGGCGCTCCTGGCGCGAGAACACGCTGCTGACGGAGATCTCGAAGCTCCCGGATGGGCACCGTGTGTTGCTGCAGGCGTTATTGTGTGACACCCTGGCGGGATACGAAGAGCTCCAGCCACGCTTTGCGGCCCTGACACCGCCACCGCGAGAGAACGACAGCCTCGCGGCGCGGCTCGTGCGACTGGCTGCCACGGCTCAGGCCGAGACCTCCAGGCTGGTGAAGCCCCAGAAAGGGAACTCCCCGAAGTCTCAGTCGGATGCTTATTTGAGCATGCTCTTGCACCAGAAGCTGACTTTGGCGAGGCAGCAAACACCACCGGTCCCAGCCATCCCAGCCACACCCACAACGATGCTTCACACGTGGGATAGATGGTATGCTACTGCGGAGAAGAGCTTCCCGGACGAGGCTCTGCTGAAGCTGCAGCTGCTCAAGCTTCGACAAAGACGCGCATCGAAGGTGATCTGCCGGGCCATGACCCGTGAAATACAGAAGAGGAAGCTGTGTCAGGAGGAGGTGCGCATCAAAGCTGCTCTCAAACTGCAGCGCACATTTCGGAACATCATTCTGCCACGACTGCGTCAGCTGCGCGAAACCGTGGACAAGATCCGGGTTCGATGTCTTCAGCAACGCTTGCATCGACGTCTCCAGCGCTTTGTGCGGGCGAGGCGCTTGTCGCGTAACGCACACCGGGCGAGAAACGTCACTTGACCGAGTTAGGACCCGACGGCATGGCCACGGTTTGATGCAGTTGCGCTTTATCCGTGCTGCTGCGGTGCTGCTCGTATCTGCTCGCAGCTGCAGCAGCCATCACTGTCCGGCATCGGGGTTTCTCTTTCTAGGGATGCAGAACATGTGGGGTCGTTCTGCACCGCTGCACAGCCTAGGACTCCCTGCCTGAGCCCAAATCATCTGCCTCGGCGCTTCGGATCCAAGCCTTCTGCCGAGGCACGCAGGGCTGGGCAGGGCTGGGGCTGGGGCAGTTCTTGCAGGCCCAGGCCTACACTCATTTGCAGAGCCATGTGCTAGGGCTGGCTTGAGGCGGGTTGTGCTGTTGTGGAACAGCTGGAAACGCCTCTGGATCAGGTCGTTGGAGTCGGAAGGGCTGGAGCTACTGCTGCTCGTCTAAAGTGGGCTGGAAAAGAAGTGAAGGCAAGATGACACTCCCACTAAACATCACACTGTGAAGGCTCTCTGTGTGGATTCTTTCACGGTCGCGCTTCCCAGCTCAGAACCGGCAAGCTGCGGAGCAGAGAAAGTTGCTCATCTGAGGCTGGGATCCTCCCTTCACCCGCGCATCTACTTTAGCTGCACGACAGCGCCTCGCCTGAAAGGCTTTCCTTTCGTTTGTCGGTGACTATCCGCAGTGTTTGTGCATCCCGGGTCAAGATTCTATGACATCATCTTTACCACAGGTCGATGCGACACAGCCTGACCATGTATTATCGGCCGAGCCATGACTGAAGATTTTGTGATGTGATGCTTATCAGCAGTCTCTCAGGAAGCAAACTTCATTGGCCTTGCCGTTGCTGACCGCTGCCATGACGCTCGGACTTTGTAGCATGTTGGCATGATTTGCCCGAACAAGGAATCAAGCCGTTACCCAAGTCCTTTTGCAAAGCCAACGGCCAACGAAGGAAGCGAGAGTTTGCAGAGGTTCGCAGTCGGCGAAGAGACCGATCGAATTCTCAGCGACTTCGACGTAGCTGGCTGCCAGCTCTCCAAGCCGAGTTCTCGATGCTCAGCTCCTGGCATTTCGAGACCGAGGATTTTCAGCGCCGCGCCGACTTTGAAGCCCGGAACTTGCGGCGCTTTGAGGCTCAGTGGCAAAGATATGCTGCAGGTTTGGAGAACTTTGCTCGTTCCCATGCCCTGGACCGCTCGAAGAATCGCGACCAGTGGGTGGCAACGGTGAGTGACGGGAAGGCTGTGTGGCTGAACGAAAGAACAGGGCAGACTCGTCCGAGTGACCCTCTTGAAGCCCGTGTGCGGGGCACCCTGGCACGGGAGCGCAAGACGCAGGTTGGCATTGGATTTTGTTTTGGGCTCATGTTTTTGCTTTCTTGCAAAGAGTTCATTTTAACTCAAGGCAGTCCAAAATTCGCAGGTGCTAAACTCCTACTCACCCGAGCCCTGGTCTGCCCTGACAAGTGCCGGAACTGAGAGAGAATTGCTATTCCTGGTCAAGGAAAGCGGTCGACCGTTTCGAGGATCAGGCGCAGCAGCGGCGTGCCGTTTGGGAGGAGGAGGACCAGGCCAGGCGTCGGGCGCTTCGTTCAATTCCCGGAATTTCACCCGGACTTGTTCGGAGGCTTTGGAGGAGCTCTACGCAGCCGGGCAGCTGGAGCTCCAGGAGACGGGATGCAGAGTGCACGTTGGAGCGCCCAAAATCCCTCAGTGGCACAGACTCTCGCAGAGTCAAAAAGAAATTCAGTGAGAAGCCAAGCCCTGCGGCGTGAGCATCAGATCCACAGGACATCACACGGAGTTCCTTCGCTTCTGCTTTCGCCTGCATCCAAAAAGAGGGCTTGCCGCTTGCCTTCGAGATTGTGGCCTGCCACGACGATGAAAAGCAGAGTGCAGAGCGACCGTTCGCAGCAACAGCGGCATCTGTATGCTCGATCTGTCTTGCTTCAGCTTGCAGATAGCAACCTTTTGTGCCGAATACATTGAAGACCAATCAACCCCGACTGTTTTTTCACCATTGAAGCACCGATGGGAAGTGCCGAACAGACTGAATCGACTTCCAGAAGTTCTCCAGGAGCATACCAAGACACTGACCCAACAGCAGGAACATCCGCAGACAGTGGTAGCCAGCCCAGCAACTCCTCAAAGCCAGCACGCAAGCTGCCCTGTCACTTGAGCCTACAAGTAGAACAGGCTCAGCATGCATGAAGTCTAGCCATGGATGTTTCTCAGTGTGGGAGCAGCCCCTGTTGCACGAACGACAAGAAAGAGGCTGAGTGAGCAGTAGCGAAGCCGATCAAGTCGCCAGAATTCTCATCCACTAATGTGTTCCTGTGCCTATACCTGTAGTTGTGCCTGAACCATTTCTTGCCAGGAGCCGGGTCTTAAAGCAGTGCAAAGCTCTTCGCTGTTTTTTCACCTGCCGCCGGCCGAGACTGGTAGTGCCGGTGCAGGTCCATCTTGCTCAAAATTAAGAAAGGTCACATGTCGGTTTTAGTTCGCATGAATGTCAGCAATGCTAGACACTGTTGCTGGTGATGCAAAGTGATGCTGTTGCTGATGATGATCATGATAGGCAGCTGCTCATGCCGGAGATGATGACGGTGGCGATAACACGACCTGTGTCAGTTTGGCGCCTGCTTGTATGGACGAGTGAAGGGGGTACAGCACTTTGCCTGAGGCCGGACTCCTCCCAAGTTGTCGATGCGACAAAGACTCCTGAGGTACTGGCGTGGTGTGGGATGAAATGAGGGACAGGGAACATAGGGAACCCTGCAAGATTTTCTACAACGGTTGAAGCTGGCAGGGACCACATCAGAGGGGCCCCGTGGAGCTGGAGAACGGAATCGCACGGGCCTCAGCCAAGGAAGCAGGGCATTCCGAAATCTGAAGGAAGTTTTGCACACTTAATCGCAGGCTTGTGTTAATGACGGGCTCGATGCCCGAAAGCTTGCTGACAAATGCTGCACTCGCCCCGTGCGACCCAGATTTACACCGGGCAGTGGCTTGGTGTCCATCGACACGGGGAGGGCACCTTGCTGAGGCAGGAACCTCTATCGCTCAGGGAAGGCTTTCTTCAAAATCCCCAGACGGCGTGGCCAGAATTCTTGAACCCTCGAACACTAAAGCTGGAAAGCGTAAAGGGGTGTTTCGAGTTCGAGAACGGTCTGAGACAGGAGCTTAGATAAGGCTCGAGTGTAGGCTTTTGCGTGGTGCCTAATCTTCCAGGCATTTGTCCTGCCCTAGATTACATGGCTTTTCACTGCGACCATCATCATTATTCCGACTTATCCCAAATAAAATCCCAGTTACAACCTCTCCGAAGCTGGCAGATCTTCAAGCTAGCTTCCGGAACAGTGGAATATGGAAAATTCAAGCAGCGCTTTTCGGCGTAATTAATTAGTACAGTGTGACGGGGATCTTACAGCCCCTACAACCCAGAACCTCAGCCCGGAATCCAACTTCCCCTCAAGCTTAAAGCCCGAAGCCTTTCAGCTCGAAGGTGGGATCGCGGGTGGGCTGTTGGATACTTCCATGCGCCATTGTGGCCTTCAAGCCTCCATCGTGAAAACCTTGAGCATAATTGTACAGTAGGATGCCACACTCCTGCCGCGTTACGCAATACAGATTGACAGACGCATTATTGCACTGTATTGGGGCAGGGCTTGGAAGTAGTGCTTTCTTGTCTGTAGTTGTAGAATGACCAAACTACCGAGTTGCCTGAGTTCGTTTGATTAAACAGCAGTGCGACAGCAGCACCAACAGAATGTCATCACCTCAAAGGTCCGGTCACAAGACATTCTAGACAGATGACAGTCCGAAGTAGTCCGAAGCACCTCTTACCGGTCGAGTCTGGGAAAATCTGCTGCTTCCTAGACTTTATCTTGGATAATAAATGTGATAGGGACCAAAGCAGCAGGAATATGTCTGATTACCATGTCCATCCGTACCACCAATCGGAAGTCAGCATCGCAATACGAGGCCTAAAGCTTGGAGCGCTTCTTCAAGAACTTGTTTAAACATACCCGCGGTTTATCAGGTGGTTGCAGACTCCAGCCGTCCCCGAGTAGCGCGTATACGCGGAAGTCTCCTTCGGACGATGTCCGGGTGTACTAGACTGTGCCAGCGAAGTTCACTTAAGTTCAGTCGACTCGCCCCGGGGGATCATCCAGGCCCGATGGTGGCAGATACGAGGGGCAGTTTGTGAACGACCGAGCCTGCGGTCGGGCCTCCTGGTCTTCGCCGGTACACAGCGCGCTGCTGCTGCCACCGCACCGAGCACGACCACAGCCTCGACCACTACCGCCACCACCTCCACCACCACTCCCACCGCAAAGGCCAATTACTGAAGCCACCACTGCTGCTGCTACTACTACTAATTACTACTACTACTACTACGACGACGACTGAAACTACTGTAGTACCAGTACCAGTACCGCTGCAACTGCTGCTGTTCCTGCTCCTGCTGCTCCTGCTGCTGCTGCTGCTGCTGCTGCTGCTGCTACCGCTACGGCTACCGCTACGGCTGCTGCTGCTGCTGCCGGGCTATGCCTGCGGCTACGACTCTTGCTGCTGCTGCTGCCGCTACAGCTGCCACTATCGCTACCGCCCGCTAATGCTACGACATCCTACCAACGTACTCAAGTACTTGCGAGCTTTATGTATTTACTTACTTACTCACTTACTTGCTTGCTTGCCGCGCTCATATTTCTTTACCTGCCAGCCTACCTACTTACTAACTACGACTACTACAGGTTCGACCGTTGCAAATAATCTAACATGAGCATCTGCATCAGAAGAGAGCTGCAGTCCGGCCGAGGACGTGGGAGATTTGTCCATGCCAATGGCGACGTGTACGAAGGCCAGTGGCTGGATGACAAGGCCGGAATCCGTGTGGATAGGGTTTGGAGACTCGTTACACTCCGGGACTCGCGGCTCGCGGCCTCTGTGTAGTTGGCAGATGATCTCGACTGCCCGCTGACACCTGCTTGCCGTTGCAGCCTTCGTGTGCGGAAGCTTTCTGCTGTGAATCAGGCTCATGGATCCGGGAAGTTCCTTCACTCGGACGGCGAAAGTGGCATGTTTAAATAGAGCAGGCGCGGCTCCGTCTCGCGACTGAGAGGGCTTGAACGAAAGGGCTCTCAATGCACACCTCCAGTTTCGAGACGGGTGATGCTCTTTGCACTCCAGTTGCACGCAAAGAACCTTGAGAAGCTGAGGTTTATCGGAATAGGGACAGGGCAGTTTCAATCGGCTGCCAGGATCGTCCTACATCGGCGACTGGGTGGAGGAGAGCTGAATTGAAACTTTCGAATGACATGTCGTGTCTTTGAATCTGGATGGTACGCCGCCGATTGTACGGATATGTGCACTTGCTGCTCCTGCCTTTGTTGCTGTTGTGAAAGTACAAGGACATGAAATCCGGACAGGGTCTTGAGACCTGGGCCGATGGCTCCACTTTCAAGGGCGAGTACAGGCCTGCCTGACGTGCCGCAAGTCTTGTCCATGAGTGCAAACGTGGTTCGTCCTCTTTGTGCCATAAGCAATATCAGAATATAAGGTGCGAGGCAGAGGCATTTCTCTGAAGCCTTTGCAGCTAACTAGCCATGCTCGTTGCCGAAGCCGGGGTTCATGCTGAGCTCTGGCTTTGGCTGACGTTTGGCTGCTTAATGAAACCGCTGCAGTCAGGAGAGTTGCAGGTTTAGGATGGGTTTGATTTCCTGTGCCGGGCAGGGACGGCAAGAAACACGGCTATGGAGTCTTCACGTCCTCTGACAACTCGCGGCAGCCTCGAGAACGGGTCAAGTTCCTTGATTTTGATCTTTGCGGCTTGCCACCGTGAAGCTGAAACCGCTTCGGCATTGCATTTTGCACTTAGCTACCAGGCTCTCACCACAGACACGCTTGAACTGGCGAAGCCTCGGGTGGGCTAGTGGCCCCGCTTGAACTAGGCATCTATTAAGACTTATTAGGACGAGCCACTGACACTCCTGCCCCCCCGGACCCATCAAGGTCGTATTCCGGCCAGTTCTTCAACGACAGCATGCACGGCGAGGCTGCGGCCTTCGTGTTTCCATCGTGAAATACCAGGGTCTCTTCTTTGTTGCTTCTACATGCAAGACAGAAAGCGTGCTTTTTGTGACGTCGACATTTGTTGGTCGCGGACTTGAGTCAACCTGCTCGGAAGCTTGCTGTCACGGCACCCATCACGGCTGCAGGGTACGTACACCTTCTCTGATGGACGCGCATGCCTCAGATTGGCTGTTTATGTCTCCTCATCCTGTTGTCAAGACAACGCCTTGCTGGGGCATGCCGCAGGCGATCGTTTGAAGGGGTCCATGACGAGCGTGTTCATTCCCAAGGTGTCTACGTCGGAAGCTGGCAAGACAGCCAGATGCCGCGACCCAACATATCCTTCGCCACGAAGTTCCCAAAGCCAAACAGCGAAACAGCCTGCGATGCACTTTCTTTGCCGAGGACGGGCCATGGCACCATGAGATGGCCAGATGGTGGAAGCCCCCAGCGCATCGATGAGTAGAATCTTTTCCAAGTCTCCAGCAGCGATCCTTAAACCCTCAATCTGCAAGGCAGATGGTACGAGGGAGACTACCTCGGCGATCGAAAGTCCGGCGAAGGGAAGTTTTGTTGGCCGGACGGTGCTACCCTGAGGATGCGAAGTTGGGGACAAAGCTTGGAGCCGGCTTGGGACGAGTTTGTAACTAACGCGGGTGATCTGTCACCAACCAAATACCTGGGCACCGTCGCAAAGAGAGGCAAACATGAGTGCAGCAACGTTCTTGAGTCGTGTTGCATGTTTCGTTCGGACCAGCAGTCCGAATCCGGCGAGAAAATATGATAGAACAGGCACGTACCCAACCAAGCCGTGCTGGCATCAGTTTCCTTTACAGGTGTGATCACAGGGCTGCGAAAATGCCCGCGGAGTGGTGCCAGAGACACCAAA